AATGTATACATGTATAGATGCATGTATGAATGTATACATGTATAGATGCATGTATATTCATTGTCTTTTTGTCTAGCCTTGAGCAATAGCTAACTACTTTATCCAATATATGATTGTCATGTTTATCTAATATAATTCGCAGTGAAGCGCAAAAGCTTCTAGAGTTTTGGTTAGCCTGAACCAGTGGCCCATTTCCATTTCCATTTCCATTTCGATTTGCCATTTTCCACTCAAGCGTTTATTTCAACTGCGTCAACAAATCCAAATATTTATTTGTTCCTGTGTGGGGCATGTGGCATGGCAACAGCAACAGCAACAGCAGGAGAAGCACCAGGAGTGGCAGCAACAGCTAAACATTATCATCAGCATCAAGTTTGACTTGTGCCAAGTGGCAGCAGCAGCAGCAGCAGCTTGTGCTCGAGTGTGCGTGCCTTCGACTGAAGGCGCACGTATGTAAATTGAGTGCAGCCAAAAGCCTTGGCTTCGATTTTGACACCTGACTGCTGCACACAAACACGCACACATGTACGCATACTCAATCAAAATTGGAGCACACACACACACATACGCACATGCAAGTGGCTCTAAGTGGGCAGCCGCCTCCTGCAACAATGGCAACGGCACTCGGCGTGTACATAATGCGCGCACTTGCCACTCGAGGATCGATGGAGGAGAACGAGTCCAAGCCAAGCATCGCCGCTAATGTTGATTAGTCGTTGGCATTCGATGCGTGCGCGTGTATCCATGGCCCCTATATCTATTACTATCTATACCCATATCCGCATCCGCCCACTCAATGTGTGCGTGTGTGCGTGTGTCCATCCTCTGGGGTAATTCAAAGTGGATAAGCGGTTAAATCATTATATATTTATAGGCTACAATTTCATTGTCTGTGGTGCGGCATTGCTTAGCCGAGCGTTTGATGCGTTCTTCTCTATTCCATTCTTTTCTTGTTTGGCCAACGAGCAGTAAAACTTTAATTGGCCGCCCAGTTTGATTGACTGCCCAAATGACTGACGGACGGACGGACGGACGGACTGACTGACTGAATGGCCTTATAAAATATCGTGGCCATACACACATGTGCATATGCTTCTATATGCGGTAAGTGTGTGTAATAGTGTGTGTGTGTGTGTGTGCTCGAGTGTGTGTGTGCACTACATTTGTTTCAAACAATTATGTGCCGAGTGCCACACACACAAACGCACGCACACACACACACACACACACACATGCATGCATGCATGTAACACCCAACAGCTCATGAAAATGAGGCCTTTTTAAATGTTGTTTGAGTGTTTTGCTGCAAATAGCACACACGCACACACACAAACACACACACATACATACGCATACACACACATTCACATACAAATACACATGTATATACATACATACATATAAATATAAATGCACATATATGTCCACATACTGATACACATACACCGATCCATATGTATACACACACACACACACACACACACATGTATACTCACACACACAAAACGAGTGCAAACGAACCGCTTGACGCTGAGCCATACGGCCAGACAGTTAGTCCCTATCGTAGACCCCGCCCGCCCTGCCTCTCCAGCGCCTCCGTCACAGCTTTTGGCGTCCAGTAGGCCTTCTGTCGAGCCCTGTGTATGTGTCCTGTGTGTGTGCCTCTGTGTGTGTGTACAATGTATTGCCGTATAGCTGTTGGCAACCAGGCTAAATAAAACATTAAAAGCACAAAATAATGATGCTGATGCATGTCAAGTCAAACTGAAAACCGAAACCCCAAAGGCACCCAAGCCCGCACCACCACACTGGAAATAAAACAAAAACCCTACAAGGCCTCACACTGTGTGTGTGTCTGTGGCTATACATTCACATATATATATATATATATATATATATATATATTTATAAATATATAAGAATGTGTGTGTGTAGTACATAATCATACACATAATGACACAGCGACAACCACTTGAATCGAGCATGTCCTTAGTATTGGTTCAGCATCGCCATGTGCTTTATCTCGACGAAAGTATGTATTCCATTTTGTCCTAAGCTTTCATTCTTCTACCATTTATATTTATATTCCACACTTTGCTCAATGGCAAGCGGGACTTCATGAAAGACAGTCTTATAGAGACAGAGCTAGCTTTCTGCCTATTGCAAGATACTCAAAGCGGTAAAACACATTGGGACCTTGTTTTATTTTCCTGTATAACAGTTTCATGTACAAGAAAATATAAAATTATAATTTATATATTTATACGTTTGGCTTAACATATGTATAGCAGTATAGCGTCTAATTTTGTAAAATTACTGGTATATTCAATTGAATAAAATATAACTCAATTAGTATTCTAGTTTAGCTCTAGGCAACACCTAATATTATCTTAAGGTAATGGAATAACTTATCAACCCGCTTTTAATATATGTGTCACAGCTTCGTATAACAGTTTCGTATAACAGTTTTATATAACAGTTTTGTATATCTGCTTCGTATAACCGTTTCGTATAACAGGTTTGTATAACAGGTCTGTATAACAGTTTCGTATACCAGTTTTGTATAACAGTTTCATATACAAGTTTCGTTCGCTTTAAAATCCTCTGTAATTACATTTCGCTCCAATTCGAAAATTCAATATGTTAAGCTTTCTATATGCTTTCGCATATAACAGTTACCATGGCATGGCCCAGCACTCAGGTGCTAAGCTACACACCTGTCATCTATTTACACGCCTCTGGTCGGCTCGTCTTGTTATCCTCCTTTTCCCCAATCAATTAATGTTCACTTTCATTAATGCTCTCCACATAGAGTGTGCCCAACTGTTATACAAACCTAAGCTGACAGAACAATCTCTGCCATCGCGCCTAACAGGCCAACTGTGAAATTGGTTGCCCACTGTGCGCACGGTGTTCGGACGGCCGCTGCGATAGCGTGCGTGCGTACGACTTGATATACGGCAGCCACCCCCACCACTTCCCTCCGCCCACGCCGCCCTCTTCGGTTGGCATTTAAAGGAAAATGTAAAAAAAAGGAGGAAGAAGAAAAACGCACATCATCAGCAGCGGCAGCGGCGACGTCGACGTCGACGTCATTCACACAACGGCCTCAGCCTGACCAGCGTCGGTCGAAGCTGCTGCTGCTGCTGCTTCTGCCTGTGGGTGACTCTGAGTCCGTCATTTGCTTGGTCGTTGGAGTATATAAACGTGCCAACCGAATGCGCAAACCAACCAACACACTCACACACACACACACACGCATACAGGGAAAGAAACACTTTCACACGAATACGTGAAACTGTGGCAGCAGAGCGCTCTGTAGGCTCACTGGCTGGGCTCTTGGGTGTCCTGGCAACACCCCTCCCTAAACCCCACCACGCTAACCGCTGCGCCCGCCCCTGCGGTCCGCCGTCTTGCAGTGGCTTGGCCCGTTCGGGCTTGGCTAAAATGTGTTCGTTATACTTGGCTTAATCAAAACATATTCAACCGAGCGTGAGGCTGTTTAAGTGCTTCGCTCGAGAGAGCTTGCCGCAAATACATACGCAGCGCCAACTTATTGTAACAGAATTTGATTCTTTTGTTTCCATAAGCACACACACACACACATACATGGGCACTTGGTTGTGGGGTAAAATGAAAAGCAAATTTAATTGTATAAAATTAGCAAAATGCGCGGCTCCCATGTGAGTCTGTGTGTGTGTGTGCGCTAATGACAGACAAACAATTAAACTTGACATTTTCTCTATTGTCCCACACACACACACACATGCAGAGAGAAGCACGCGTGTTTTTCTGTTGTCAACTGTACATGCGCTTATCCTTGAGCAATGCAATTAGACAAGTTTCAATCCAACGGCAACAATGGCAGTTGAAACAACGCAGCCAAACAACAGTTGACACACACACACACACACACACACGCACACACACGCACACACAACATTAACAACAAGATGGCGTCGCCACATATTGAACACAAAATGGCGGCCATCACGGCAACAACAATACAACGTGGCAACAGATTGCGCCTCGTCCTTGATGTCAAACTTTTCTATATGTATGTATATCCTTAGATATTATATTTTTGAGCGCTGTCTGTCTCTGTCTCTGTGTACGTGTGTGTGTATGTGTGTGTGTGTGTGTGTGTGTGTGTATCTTCAATCGATATCTATTAATACATTGTGAAATTGTGCGCTCGCTTTTGACGCATTCTCAGCTCGCATTCGCCAGACGGACTCAAACTTCTTTGGCTTGATTGATGATCCCATTGCGTTCGGCTCGGCTCGCACTTTTAATTAATATTGAAAGTTTGGCTTAAGTGCATAAATAATTCTAAATTGGCCTCGCTTCTGCCGTTATCAGGCGCGCGTCGACTTTCCGTTCGCTTTTTCCCAATAATTGCATGAGCCACGCCCACATTTCAATGCCGGCAGCTCAATGCTCGTTTCCTTTTCTTTTTCCTTTTCTTATTCTTTTCTTCTTTTTTTTTGGGTTTTGGCTTTGGCGCAGCGAATTTGTTTGTGGGCCACGCCTCCATGCAAACAGTCGACTTCTCTCTCTATGTGTGTGTGTGTGGCGTTGCTGCAGCCGAACGCGTTATTGAAAATGATTTTTTAATGCGGCATTGCCGCGAGCCTCGCAGCGCGTGGAGTGCGCCGCCATCTCCTGCTACTGCTTCTGCTTCTGCTGATGCTCCTGCTCCTGCTCCTCCTCCTTTGCCATGGCTGCTGCTCAGCTCTCTTGGCACTTATGCGTGCGCGGCCAACTCATTTTGTGGCAACTTCCTATTCGCGTTTTGCCATTCAAGGCTTTTTCTTGGTATTTTCATTTTCGTTTTTGTTTTCAACTTTAAATTTGAATTCTATATACATTCTGTTGGGCTTAAAGTGCGCCGGGGCGTGACCAACGGCAGCATTTGTTTGCCTACGCCAAGCTGCTGCTGCTGCTGCTGCTGCTGCTGGGCTTGCTGTAATTTAAGCCATTTGCCGCACAGCTCAAACAGCCATGGCGTATACGTATTTTTAGTTCGACTACAGTTAGAGCTAGAGCTAGCGCTGGCCGCCCCCACAAATGCCTGTGGCCAACAAACAGTGACCGCTGTGCGGCCCCAGCTCACAGAATCTGGGCGCTCGGCCTTCGCGCGTGTTTTGGGTCTCAGCGCGTTGACATTGAAATTGTAAAAATAATTTCTCCTTTGCCACGTTTCAGGGCAACACACACACATACGCTCTAGCACAACCGCACACATTTAAAAACAATGCGGGTAAAAAGGCCAAATGCTGTGTCATTTCCATTTGTTTGCTGTTTGTTTGTTTGTTTGTTTGTTTTATTTTGCCTAAGTTCAAACTTTTGTGTTACAAAGTCATTTCTGTCAAATAGGCTAAGCAAACATATTATTTTAAGTTGACTTTCTTTTATTTGGTCATCTTCCCCCTCTCTCCCCTCTCTCTCCCACTCTCTTACTGTGCGTGTGCGTGAGCATTATTTAAGCTTGGTTAGACATGCGTTGTCGCTCGCTCAGGCGTTTAGTTACACTTTTAAGTGGCATTTGCCCATAATGCGTATACGCAACGTGGCATGAATAAAACAACCCAAACAAAACGAAAAAACACCGCAGCGTGAGCTACATATTAGATAAGCGAAACTTGCCGAAGAACTTGCCATTCTTGCTGGAGTCAGATCAAAATCTAATGCTATTTCCTCTATTTACATAATTAGCTACGTATGTTGGGAGTTTCAGTTGTATGATGAGTGAGTTTCCGCTTCTCTTTATTTTTCTCTATTTCTTGTGTTTTTTTTTTATTTCCTATCATTATATGTTTGTATCCGCACTCGTTTCAATATTGCTCTTCCTCCTTCCCTCTTTGTCTCTCTTTGTCTGCTTCGCTCGCTCTCTGTCTCTTTTTTCTTCGCTCTCTCTATTCCCCTCCTTCGCTTTTTCTCCACAATTTACGTTTCCCTCTCTATCTTTTTTTTCTCTCTCTCATTCGATATCTCTATCTCCCTCTCTCTCATTCTCCTATTTATCTCTCTCTCTCTCTCTCTCTTTCGCTAACTCTATCTCCCTCCTTCGCTCATTCCGTCTCTATCCCTCTCGGTCATCCTCTCGCACTATCTCTATCTCTCTGTTTCTCATTATATTTTACTATCCATCTGTTTCTTTCGCTCTCTCTCACTTTCTTTTTCTGTCTCTCCTTCTTTCTTTTGTTAACTTGGCTTATTTTTCTCTCTCTCTCTCCTTTCCGTTGCTTCATCGTTTCTACTCTCTTTATATTATTTCTTATTACCATCGCTTCTTAACATATGTAGTTCTCTCTTTCCTTCCTTTTCCTTCTCTCTCTTTAGCTCTTTAGGTGAATACATCTATCTCCTTTTCCTACAGTTTCTTAGCATTTCTTTGCAATTCTCGAACTTTCGCTTTCGATTTCCCTCTCTGGCATGCACATGACCCAAATCTGTTATACAGTTTCGCTATTTGATGCATGATTATGCCAGTCGCCACAGAACTGTTCTAACTGTTATACACTGCTCTAATGTGACAGCTCTTTTAGCTGAAACATATATTCGATATGACCAAAAAGTCGAATCTCACGCATTTCTCTCTGACCGCATCGCTCACACACACACACACACACACACATTTGTATGTATATGTGTCTGTCCGCTTGGCTCTTTGGCTGCGTACATGTGTATGTACATGCAATACATCACCTTTAATGGGCATTTTGTGTTAGCAGGCATTTAGCCCTAAATGCTTTGGCAACGTTACAAACAATTGAATTAAGACTGGGCCGCTGCACAATTGTGGGCAGAGCGGCTCCGCTCGCCGAGCGCGCCACCAGCCATTGCTACTTTGCGATTTTGTAGCCATTTAAGGACCAGAACCAGAACGAGAACGAGAACGAGGTCCACATCCACATCCACATCCACATCCACATCCACATCCACGCTCAGCCCGTGTGCCTCTGGCTCTAGCTCTAGCTCTGGCCCAAGCCCATTTGTTAGTTGTGGCCTAATGTATGTATGTGTGCGTCCGTCTCTTTCTATGCTTATCTATTTATCTCCCTGCTGCTGCTGCCGTTGCTGCTGCTCTTTATGTATTGGCCAACTATATTTAGCTTTCATATACACACTCATGCATGTGTGTGTGTGTGTGTGCTTTGAATGGCTCGTTGGCGACTAAACTACTTTTTGCCTGTTCAGTGAGTTTCAATGGCCGCGCGGCATTTAATTATAAACATATCACACACACACACACACACACGCACACATTAATATTAACATCTATGTATGCATATTAGACAAAAATAACAACAACAACTACTACAACAGAGGTCCATGTTTTTGTAAGCCAATTGGATCAGCATGATGGCCCCAACAATTTTTATTAGCAACTCGAGTCGAGCAGCAATTACAGCGCGCATTTCAAAAACAAACAGCTATTTATATAGTATATGCATATAGGCATATACAAATGAAACAAATTGATAGACCTACCCACTCTCCCCGCTCTTCTCCATCCATCCACTCAGACTCGAGCTGTGCAAATTATCGAGATGCATTCGGCTGCACGGCTCGAATCAAATAAGGCAAACCAAATGGCATTAGGCAACAATTTCAACTATTTAGAGCCCTTCAATGGCTGCTCATTTGAAGAGAGAGCGAGAGAGAGAGGGAGGGAGAGTGAGAGCGAGTCAATACATAATATGGAGCTATGGGTATTACTCAACTCTCTCACTTTATTGATTAGAGTCTATCCTGGAGAGCGCACTCGAAACCTTTATGGCATAATTTTGATCAAGGCTCAAATTATAGAAAATGCGAATGATAAATGTTGAACAAGTTATTATATAAGGCAGAGTGTTGCATATAGCTTATGGAGATGTGCACAGCTAAGCTGATTGAACGCCGTCTATGAGCTACGTCTGTCTGTCAGTTTAATTTCATTTCGGTATGTATGTATATAGGAAGGCAGAAACAGTCGTAGATTGAGACTGGAAATGTTATCTACTTATTTATTAGAGATTAGATTTAATATAAAATCTTAAGAGCTCGGGCCTGTGGCTCTAGAAATAAATGTATTACTCTGTCTTAAGAATTTAAAAGAGTCCAAAATGGGGGCACATATTTAAATATCCATTTATCATATACATATGTGTCTATACATATATGTGTCTTCATTAGCTACACCCAAATTCCATTTTGTTGCAGTTCACCTGAGTTTGTTTCCATTCTCTCACTCAACTTGGGTTCTATTGAAGTTGCGTATATAACAAGACTTAAGAGTTGCAGGCACACATCTTGACGTGGATCTATCAGAAGTATACCAACTATGATATACCAATTTTTGACCTACAAATACATCAAATATCTCGTAAGCTTTTGCTCTGCTAAGCGCATGGCCCCAAGGCCAGTGCGACCCAGTCGTGATCTAGCCATAAATCAAATTCCCCCCTCAACTTTACTTTAGCTATATATCTCTTGCTCCCCAAGGAAAATAATGATAATAAATTTAAATTAATAAAGTTTCATAATAAGAATCTTTTCTATAAGGAAATAAAAAGGGTCAATAAAGCTTTTTCCATTGTGAATGCTCGTAAATTTCATGTTTATGCAGGCTCCAAGAACTAAATCTTTAGATCTATTCCAGCTGAATAATAGTTATTAAAATAATAAATATTTAACGTAACTAGTTTAACTATCGTAGGAAAAGCATAGAGTTGATAAGTGAGCTAAAGTGCAACCGCGTTATATCGATATGCCTCGCAGCATTGTGCAACACTGCTCATCAAAACAGCCCTGCATTTGTGAACAGGCAAAGTTCTTAACGAAAAATTCTTCACACACGATTCTATCAAATAAGTCAAGTCAAGGCAAAGCTCAACCAGTCAACCAATCAACCAGTCAATCTCTATTACGTTCTCTGCTTTGCTTGCAGATGATGCTCAAGAAAGTAACCCTTCGCTCGACGGTGCTCTCCTGGGTCATCTTCGTGTTCTGCTTCATGGAGCGCAAGCTGCAGATGAGCGGCACGGCCGTGCCGATCGCCATAGTGGGCGTCCTGATAACCGTGATGGTGCTCCATCTGCTGGTGCAGCATCACGGCCTGCTGCCCGAGCTCAGCTGGCGCCTTATGTGGCCGCTGATCTCGTTCAAGGTGGTCCTGTGGATTCTGGTGCAGCTGCTGGGCACGGTCGCCCTCTCGGTGCTCTGGACCCATCTGCTGGACGATACCTGCGATGGGAGCTTCTGCGATATATTTGTGAGCCGCCTGATGCTCGGCTGGACACTGGCTGGCTATGTGATCTATGTGCGGTTATGCCAATTGGCGGCTGCGATTGTGGCGGCTCGCAACGAAATCGAATTCTTGACCTTCTGGTTTCAGTTCCTAAAGATTTAATCAACTGCCATGGAAGAGACAGCCTTGGCCTCGGCCTGGGTCTGGGCAGGGGTTAAGTTTGTCTATGCATGCGTGTTGCCATTAAAGCGAGTAAATTGCATTTTGAAACATAAATCGCATCTAAATTCAATTAGCTGCATTAACTGCCAGGACTCTGTCAGCTTTTAGCTGGACTGGACACTGTGTGGAAGTGTGGAAGGGGGGTTAGTTGTTGGCGGGGGCGTGGCCAGTCGATGCACTTGCCACATTTGTAAGCTCATTTGCCGCACAATCTCATTAACTGAGGCCAAGCGTGGCACAGCAGAGCAGAGCAGAGCAGAGCGCGCCCTCCATCATATCGTTAATTAGGAAGCTTTTGTAATTGAATACTCGGAACTGTACTCAACTGAGCATAAATCTAATAAGCCATCTATTAACTATCAGCAGCTACGATTTAAGATTGAATGTGGCCAATAATTAAGTTTAAATATCGTAGGAATACTATGAAATACTATACAATAGAAGCTGGCATTATTTTCATGGGCCAATTGACTTTTGGCAGCTTAACAAATTGCATTCATTAATTAGATGGCATCGAGTATCGAAACTGTGTCAAATGCGCATTAGTAAGGCAATAGATGATGGCTTCACCCCGACCTGGCCATGCGAATCAATGAATAACTTATATACAACATACATACATACATACATATGTATGTAGATGTATGTATGTATGTAGTTGTACATTTTGTATTATATACAATGCAAATGGTAAATAAATATTTGATAGATAGGGGCGTGTGGGGGTGTGCGGGGGGGCGGAGGCAAATTGTTTACAAAATGGGCCCAAAAATCAATGCGTGTTCAATGCAAATGAGCACAGAGGCAACAACAACAGCTTGGGCTCTGCTCGGTCGAGGCTACGAGCATGTAATTCGGCTCATTACAAAAACCAAAAAACAAACAAGCGTCACACACACGCACACACATACAGAGACTGGCTGACGCACACGCACAACAAAAATAACAACTAAATTGTGACTGTGCAAACAATTAGAAAGCAGCAAACGATTTTTGGTTTGGCCCGACATCAATGCGACTAAGCAAACAGCTGCGGAACGCCTCTTGCTGCCACGCCCACACCGTGCACGCCGTGCGCCACTTAGCCGATGTCCAGGGACACGTAACCACATGTTGGGCTGGCGGTTCCCGCTCCCCCTCTCTCACTGTCTCTGTGTCTCTCTCCCCTCTCGCTGTGTGTGTAAAGCAGCTGCAAATTAATTAATTTCCATTTGAATGGAAAACAGCGAAATAAAAACCAAAATAAGGCATAAAAAAATCAACAAATAGCAGACAGAGAAAGGGAGAGAGAGAGAGAGAGGGAGAGAGAGAGAGGGCTGGCAGTTAAATATGCATATACATAAATGCACTTGTGCTGCTGCACTTTGGCGCTGCTGCGGCGCACCCAAAAAGCGCAACCAGTCGAACAATTAATTCGCCAGGAGCAACAACAAACAGACAAACAAACAAATAAACAAGCACAAAGGACAACAGGTTTACAGCCTTTTTATGCGTTTTTATTTTAATTAATTTCTTTCTGCGACCAACATCAAAATTTTGAGCGACTGCCGGCGAGCGAGAGAAGAGATGAGTGAGTGCGAAAAAAAGTGTAGCATACTTTTGTGCGGCTTGATTTATTTCGCGCAAAAAGGATTGACTCGAGCGTTTGAATGGGCGTATGTATGTGTGCGCCACCGCCGCAATGGCCTTGTGTACATGTGTGTGCAGGTGCTTGTCTGTGTGTGTGTGTGTGTGGCTGACTTTGTAAATTAAGTGAGCGTAAACTTTGCGCTATTTGCGTTTGTCTGTTCGCTTGGTTTTCTTTCTGCTGCTGTCGCGCGCACCGCAACAAAATAGCCAAATTAAAAAGCAGGCAAATGTTTAATAAAGGCACACACAAACACACACACATACACACATACAACTGACAGTGCAATTTGACTTTTTACTCAACGTCCGGTTTACGCTCTGCCCATTAAGAAAGGTTTATAATCAAATTATTCATAGGTACATTAGAAAAGAGTAGAAGCGAAGGGGAAGAGAGAGAATGGAGACTTAGAAAAAAGACAAAGAGAGAGCGCTTACACTCACTCGACCTTACTCTTCACTCTCCCTCTCTCCCTCTCTCTCTCTCTCTCTCTCTCTCTCTCTGTCCAACTAGAATATGCAAATTCTTCTCGCTCACTTTGAAACGAATTGAAACTAACTGTATATTTGATTGATTTATCAATCGCTCGCAGCTCTTGCACGTTTTCAAGCATCACAATTATGAGCTTCACAATTCTAAATATGTTTCAATTAAATATCAACTGAGTCGAGCAGCCGCAGCAGCGGTACGCCGCCGAGCGCCCTCATACATATTTATTGGCAGACTACTGAATTCGTTAGTGTCGCCATCTTGTTGCCTTCCCCTGCTCCTGCTCCTGCTCCAGCTCCTGCTGAAAGCAAAGCAAACAAAGGATGCACGAATGGCGCAATAGCAGGCAGGATTAGGAAAGAGATGGAAGAGCGATGGCCGAGGGAGGAACTGAAGAGAGGCCACCGACGAGGGGAGCTGTTGTTGGGGCTTCAGCTGAAAGCAACAGCTCAATATTGTCTAATGGCTGGGATTTGTGTGTGGCATGGGCAACTCTTACTGTTGCTGTTGCTGTTGCTGTTGCTGTTGCTTGCGCGTGCTGCAGCCTTATCAGCCATTGATGACGACAATAACTTGAGCTCACACTCTGCTGTATTTGTGATGGAATTAAATTCAATTTGCTATTTGCCATCTTTCTATTTGATTTGATTATCATCATTCAATATTGCTTTTTATAATTTGTCGCACAGCAGTCAAACAAATTTCATTTGGACTTGCAAAGGCAAGTGTGCAGGCTGCATTCCTGGCGCCACTTCGAATACCTTTTCGATTGCCGTCGATAGAGCACAGATTTCGGCTGAGCAGATTTCCTGCTGCGTTGCAATTGCACTGCGAAGGCAAAACCTGATCTAATATTAAAGTATTTTCTCTCCCCCCGCCCCCCCCCCCCTCTCTCCCTCTCTCTGTCTCCTACTCTTATTGACTGTTTGATTTGGCCAAATATTTGCCATAGAAATATATGCTTTGCTTTTGCTGTGCTTTGCTATTCGTCAATAGGCCTTGCTCTGCTTCTAATTGTCTGCCTCATATCGCTGATGTAATTATGGGAATATTGCAATTTATTACAATTAGCGCTGGCCGCTGTCAGCCGAGTGCGTGGGCGTGACCGGGGGGCGGTTGTCATTGGCAACATGTTCACATAAATTAAGCATAATACAACAAAATATTAACATAATTATAAAATATAGCCAGCGTGGAGCTGAAAGAAAACGCGAACGTAAATTGCGGACAGGCGAAAATAAAATGCAAATGCAAAGCCAATAAAATATTTTTTGTTGCCACTAAAACCCACATATGTGTGTGTGTGTGTGTGTGTGTATGTAATATGATTTACGTTGTGGCAAAATGAAGGCAACAGCGACACCAGCAGCGACAGCGACAGCAGCTGGCCGCAACAAATTTGCGTGTCGTAATCAAATGCGACAGTTTTGACAGGCGGCCAGGCTCATTAGAAGCATTCAGCAAATGTTCAGGTCAGGCATAAAACATGTCATATTCAGGCAACAGCCTGAAACTAAACTCTGCGGTCTGCCAGCCAAGACACTGGCTGGAGCTGGAGAACGGGAGTCTCATCTGGGCGCTGCTATCGGTGTAGCTGGCGAGTTGTAAATGAATTAGTTAATCAAAGCAATTTGCAATTTGCAATTTGCAATTTGCAATCAGCATTTATTGAGCAGCTCTATATGTGCTTGAGTGCACCCGACGCCCTTTGATGCCATTTCACTTAACACTCTTGCCGGTGTCAATCAGCAGAAGCTTTGTTCCGCCGCTGCATTGACTACGCCAGTCGATAGATGGTGGCAGCAAGCACGCTGAAAGGAGCACCAGCAGCAGCAGGAGCAGCAGGAGCAGCAGGAAGAGAAAAAGCGCTACATTAGCCGGCAGCTAGGGGAATTTAATTAAAAAAGCCAAAGGCAAGCCAATTTATGAGGGCGTCCCTGGCGTATGCGCGATGTGTGCTCACATGGCCTGAGCGAGCGAGTGGAGAGCGCAGGGAGAGTCGCGCTGAAAGCGGAGGAGAGCTACGCAGAAAGTAAAATGCGAAAATTAATGGAAAATTAATTAAGTGTCGTTTAATGTTGTCTCAATATAAACGCTTTCAACGCAGCGCAAATTAAATTGTTGTTGCTCACACACGCTGCACCCTCAGTGGTGCTGCCTCTTTTGATTTATTGCCTTTCATGTAGCTGCTGCATTTTGAGTGAAAAGCCTGGGTAAATGCTGACGGCAGGAGCAGGAGTAGGAGTAATTGCAGTGGCAGGAGCAGGGCTTCGGCTAGAGTTTGAAATAAGCTAGCTTGGTTGCCAAGCCAGCAAAGCTACTCCTGCTACTCCTGCTGCTGCTGCTGCTTGCGGCTAGCCACTTGAGCGTTAGCGTGGCCATAAAATTACATTTCGCAATGGGGCCACGTGGCGTATGCGCAATCTCTGCTCACTTTTCATATGCAAAGCAAATGCAATAGTGAATGCAAATAGCAATTTTCATGCGGCTTCAATTCAATCAGCAGCACATTACAAACACGTGCCCATATCACAACCCCTCCCCCCCCCCCCC